TGCAAGAAAATTGAACATGAATAATGGATATATTAGCATGAGGCCAAACTGCTTTTGATTGGCATTCTCTTTCATGGCTGAACCACTGCTTTTGTCATGAGCTTTGAATTAAAATTAAATTTTCGTTTGACTCGTGGAAAGTCTGTTGACTCCGAAGTGCGCATCAATCAAAATAATGTCTTTGACAATTTAAATCACAAGATCATGACTGACCCAATGTCGTATAATTGTCTTGGAAAATGAAATTTATGCAAATCAAGTTGTGTGCCTTGTAAAAACCTCACGTGATTTCAGCATGCATTCTAAATTAAACCGGTCTTATGAGACTTATTATGCATGATAATATTTAATGAGTTTTCGAACTGTCAACCACTGATATGGGATTCTGTCGAAGATGTGCCCAAATTGAATTTCTCCAATCAAAAACGGACACAAGAAAGTTCATTGATTCTTATCAACAAAAGAGGAAATTCATTTTCAAACTTTGCAATCGAAGTTCGTGTACATAATGCTATCGAAATTCAAGTCAATCGATCGATTTCGATAGGTTATAAGCAAATGAAAAAGTGATCACCGACATTTGGACTATTTTTTCCATCTCATTTTATTCTATGGTTATTTTTAGATATCTTCCACAAATCGAATATTATGGATGAAATTAGTTTTTTGGTGTCAATCTTTTCGAATGAGTCGTCTTCCAAATTTAAATGAATCTATCTAAAATCAGAATTGATGTTGTTGGCCAACGGAAAAAGCAATTAAAATTGGTTAGCATTAATCTGTAGCGATAAGACAGAGAGAGGAATGGACAAAGAAGTCTATTCCGTTGGGTAGGTTTTATCACGCGTCCATGGCCACAAGGCACATTCCAAAGCCTATGCCGATGTGGAAATAAATTGCCGAATATTTGAATAAATGATTTCTCAGGAATTCGAAATTGTTCTGGCATCGCTTAGCCAAATTTAGCATTGATTCTAACCATTTCGGTAATCAAGAGCTTCGGTCTTGTGATTTTCGAAATATTCGGCGTATTCAAAGTGTAAACGAGATGCTTAGTTTACTGCACAGTGAGAATAGGTCGAGCTAAAATGTTCCACAGCCATTGTAGCTCAATGGAATGGGGATAAGGATCGATTGTTGAATTGTGCGGAAAACCCACCCGATTCGGATTTGTGTTTGCGTATATTTCAAATTGTTCGTGCGCCTGTGACAAAGAGCATTGAACCGATCAAAAACAAGAGCCATATGCATAAATGTGCGTAGCACGTACGAAAAGGGAAAAAGAACCGTTTATATTCGACAAACGAGAAAAGAAATTATCCGATTAAAAAAAAATCCGTGTTCATTTTTCTGTTGGGACAGCAATACTGATATGACTTTATGTGCGTGCGGATGCTGTCAGCAATTGAAGGACTCTCGCAATAGTGAAAATTCGAAATGTTGTACACGTCGACCGAAAGAAAATATGACAAATTCAGAGATCCAGCCGGGCAGATAGGATACGATGTGCGTGAGGGCCCAATTCAAGCTCGGGTAACACGAGTCAAACGAAGAAATATCGAGCGGCATGTTGAAAGAAATTGCAAACAATTTCCTTTGTGAATAAAAAAATGTGCTTTCGGTATTTTTTTTCTATTCCACCCAACCGCGCGCACTCACCCTTGTCAACGGTTTCCATCGCATTCGCACTTCATTTATGGCACCTTGAAGCGGTCCCTTATCTACACCAACAAAAAATCAATTCACTCAGGCGTCTTGAGACACAAACGCATGCAAGAAAATGCTCAAACAAATATGAAGAAGGTGAATAATAAAGTTCCATGGACTGTAAAATTAGAAGTAAATCTAATTTATCTGCAGCTCTTGTTAAAATCGACCGACGACGACGACGATATAAAACAGATGCGCCAATTCCACTGCGTTGTTCATTGATTAGCATTGAAAGTTGATGGCATTCATTGGGATGAACTTGACTGGAACCTGAAGCACTAGAGAATTAAAACTTAATGAGAGCAACGAAGCTTATCAACGATGAAGACGATTACATCATCGTACGTCGATTGAGTGTACTTCTGCGTTTCTCTTTTGAAATTAGACAAAATTGCAGATTCTTTCGCAACGTGGTCTGACAATACAAAAAAAGGTTGTGAATGAGGCATCCTCCTTTATTCAATTACCTGTGAAGGTGTTCTTCCTTTCGTCCTTTCTGTTCCGAAATCGATACGTGTGCAATGAATGATTGATCGCGTATAATCAACATTTTTTCCACTTGATTCACTGATTGGTTACAAAAGACATCAAAAAAGCGCCATCGTCAATCGAATTATCTATGATCACATTGAACAAAAAGCACCAAAAATGAATGCCCAAGTGTTTTCGGTTTGAATGGAGGTGTGAACGCTAAGTCCCTTTTCTCTCTGATTGAAACAGCCAAAATCCGAATCGAATATCTCCTTAATCGGATCAGCATTCGTGCTTTTGTCATCGTTTGTATGTGTCGAACAAAACGAACTCCACAAAAAGCATCGATGTGAAATAGGAAAATTCAAAGGTTTAAATTGTGGCATATAATACAATCATTGACTTTTGGATTGGATTCAATGGCAGCACAAGTTCAGAGTAATTTTTCGGCTTTTTTTTCCCATTAAATCCACAGGTGTCAAGCGAATTGTGCAAAACGAACGAAGTAAACCAAGAAAAAATGGGGTAACCTGAGAACACGTTGAGGAAGTTTTCGAGTCGCTAGATTCATTTAGGATTATCGGATCGTCTTTTTTTCTGTGTGCGCTACAATATACGCTGAATAACTTTGCTAGAGCACAGTACGAAAAAAAACGTACGCAAATGATTAGCACATGGCAACCATTCATCAATCTTTTTTTTCTTCCAATAACGGCCTCATATTTCACGGACAACAAGTGCAAAAAGCAAAAAAAAAAAACAGAAAATCATTCTTCATTGTTACACCGGCAACGCTGTGCATGACATGATGTACCAAAACCCAAATTGGATTGAACGATTTCTAAGAGCGTGGGTGGAAAATTACCGTAAAACTTTTGCAGGGCGCACACGAGCGAATAAAAAACGCTCAAAGTCTACAATTGAAATCCGAATATTCACTCATTTCTTCAACTTGACTGTGTAATACAACGAGTGTTTTGTTGACTGCTATCGATGAATTATCGCCTGAGTAATGGATGCAATTCCAAATTTTCCAAGCCGTGTGATAAAACACGTTTAAATTTAGCATCCGATTGATGCTATTTATAAGCACCGAATCGAGTGTGGGTTGAGCGTTGCTGGCGAAAAAAAAATTTTTTTGTTGGTTTATACTTTTTTTTATTGTATTTTACATAAATGAAATCAATTGGATTCAATCAGCAATCGATTACAAGCAAAATGATTTATATCCACCATTCGAGTTTGCATTGTTTGCGTCGGAGTTGGCTTTGATCGAAAATTGGCACACGAACACAAAACAGTCTCTGTGTGTATGTTTGTAGTTAGGAAACGATTGAATTCTGTATAAGACACGCTCTGCGCCCGATTCATTTGCTTGTTTTCCCAAGCCGTTTTATTCCTTGCTGAACGAATATGTAACAATTTTATGAGGTTCATTAATATTTATTGCCAACAAATTTGCACCATTCATATTCACAGCGAACGAAGAAAAATTACAACATGTTCATTTCCCTCTTGCACAGCGCTACTACTTAGAACAGATTTCTTTCTGTTCCTTAGATACAAAATTACACCAGGACTTCGATAAATATACGAATCAAATGTCATGCGAACAAGGAATTATAAGAAAGTGTTGTTGTGTGTATGGGACCAAAGACATTTGGCACGCGTCATGTTCCACGGTTGTGTTATTATCGCGCTTGATTGCAGTTGAGCACGTTAGATCTCTTGTCATTGTTCTATCATCCAATAACGTATTAAATTTTTCATTTTGCATCCGTTGTTTTGGAGAAAGGGATAATCGAAAAAAAAAATCCAATGTTTTGCTCACGTTTCATTGGAAAACTAGATAAAAATAAAGTCTACGCTGCTATTGTTGCCAGGCAACAATACATTTTGATATGGCACATGGAACGCTTTCAACGTGTTGCTCGAATAATAATATCTCTCATACTCTTTGAACTCAAATCTGGATGATTTTAGAAGGAAATTGCTTAACCTACCAAAATTGCTAGAACCGTATACATATGTGATTTAATAACAAAAATAAATGGAATTCACCAGGAACAAAAAAAAAAACCTATTTCACTCAAATGCTTCCGGTTTTCAGAAGGAAAAAAACTTACAAAAAATTTATTAATGAAAAGAAATCACGGAAAAATAGCAGCAGCTCAAAAATTATCGATACAAAAAGGTGAAGGCGCCAATTCGATTACAAGCACGTATGTACTTTTTGGATTTTTCATTTCCCACGCCAGCCAAAAATATAGAAACTCATCGGTGTGAACTAGAGAAACATTGAATTGGTTCGTTCCCCCCATCAAAGTTTTTTTTTTATTTCAATTTTATTCTTGTATGTTTTTTTTGACGTCGCTATTTTTATAAAATATGACGCAATGGAAGAGGAGAATTGAGAAGGCAAATCGAAGGGAGGCTGTTGCTTCCCCCAAAAGTAAGGAGGAAAGAAAATATTGAAATAGAAATTGGAATATCTATGGTGTGTTTCTGCTATATAAAATTGTACTTGTGGTTTTTCACCTGAAGAGCACGTTAGATCCTCCTCTTTATATGCTTCTCAATTGTGCGCTTCCATTGAGAAACAGTTCCCAAGTCACATCAAACAAGCTTAGAGATTTCAAGGTTTTATTTAGAGAATTCATGAACTTTAAAAGCTACCCACAAACAGTAAATTCGATAAACGAGTGCGCCGATGCTCAGGAAATAGCTATCGCATCATTAACACCGATGGAAATATGAAAACAGGCGAAACTACTTTCTAAATTTGATATTTAGAAGAAAAAAAATTGATTCTAACTTACCAGATGAGACCTATAAGTTTGACGCGTGGATGCAGGATTGGGCGTTGTACAGATGAAGAAGACGTCCGTGCGATATTTGATTATTTGTTGGCAGTGCACGAATATTTTATATTGCTGGCAAATCACATCAATACGATGTCTAAGCATGTGTGCCTGTTAATTTTCCCGATGAATCAGTTGTGAAGTCTCTGAAGCACCACTTTGATTTCGAAAATTGCAATTGTTTATAAGTTGTACGTTTTGCCATTCACAATATCTTTGTGAAATATTCGAATTGCAAATTAGATGCCACGAATTTACGTTTAAAGTGTCAGTGGTTTGGTTTGTACAGTTGGATTTTAGCTGCCGATTCAGTGTATGTGTGTGTGTGTGTGTGTGTGTGCATCAAATGAATGTTCAAGTGTTGTTTTAGTAACACACAATTTAAAGCAATGTATAGTTTGTTGTTGCTTTTTTCTTGGCGGTAAATTCAAGTGCGTCGGAATGTTCTTGGCATTCGTAATATTTCACAGACACGACATTCTCTGTGTGTTGTGTGAATTGCATTGCACATTGTTTATTATTGAAACTGTTTTTTTCCTCTGTATTTTTTCTTTCTATCCTTTGAATACTGCACGAGCAACAGCAGAATTAATTTTTCCGCTTCACTTGGTACAATATCAAATGGAAATGATCGCTTTGCATGCACTATTTCGATTAACTCTTGCAGAGTGAAAATGGAATTCGCATGTAATTGAAATTTTTGTGACAAGCGCCACGACAACAACAATAACAACAAAATTTCATACAAGCTCGTCCTTATGCATCCATGTGCACCGAATATGTTGACAAAATGGGTAGTGTTTATTTTCTCTTCAGTCTCTCTCTCTTTTCTACTTTAAATCGTCGAGCACAATAATAAGCTGCTTGGTTGGAGAGTGTGTAAATAGTGTGTGTAGCACTAGTAAAATGACATTCACCAGCTTCTTCGCTCTTATTTTTTCATTCGTTGCTACTGTAAATGTAAATCAGTATTTATGTAAAATTGAATACGTTTCAAAGTGGTCAAAGCTGTTTGTGAAAATGAAATCTCGCTTGATGACGACGGAAAGAGTGAGCGTGTAAAGAGTAGGAGAAAGAAAAAATATTTCAAACGCCTTTTTTTTTAAATCGCCTTTGAGCGCTTGACTAACAATGAAAATTGAAATACATAATTCTGTTATTACTTGTGTTGCTTTTGCAGCCGTCGCCGTTTACAATGTCTGCTGTATATTTAAGTTTGATGTTCTGAGAAAAAGCATTTTCCGCTCAATATTTATTTTCTCGGGCATTCGGACAAACACATCACTCTCTCTCTCTCTCTCTCTCTCTTTTTCTACTGCACGTACACAGAGAAAATTCTATAAGCGAAACAGAAAAATGAAACACATCAAATCAGGATAAACTTGTAGAGTCGCTTATTTTTTTCTCAATGGTGTTTGTTTTTCTCTCGGTGGTGTTTTCTCGTTCTCTTCCTCTCTCAGTTTTTTCCTTCTGCAGTTACAAGCATTTAATTTCTTGAGTGAATTAAATTTCGCCGCACGTGCTGTGTGCAATAGTTCGTTTCACTGTCCTGGTCGATTTTTTTTTTCCCTCACTTGAACATTTTCATCGTCGCACTATCATTTTACAATTGTTCATTTTCTATTGGGCCGTGATTTATACGCGCCATGCAACTCTATCATTATTGGAGTGCACGCGTTCATTTTTCATCGTGGCTCTTTTCTCTCTGTTTGCTTTTTCTGAGTCAGTTGTTTGGTCGGTGCTATTGACGTTCTCAACGCGTTATTAGGTATTAATTTATGCATGTGCTGAGAAATTCACTTTGGCAAACGGTACGCAGCAATGAAAGAGGGAAAAAAATTGTGTTGCGAAAGAAATTGAATTATAGTCTTTGGTTTTTTAATATGCTACTTTTGTCGCGCACATGAATCAGCCAATTGAAATGAATAAAACTTGCATCTATCTCACACAGAGATACATGCCGCGAGACACAGTCGTGCGCTTCGCATCTGACTAATATCGTAGCTATTTTGATCGTAAACACATTTTCCTTTATTTACAATTCAAACGATGCTCAGAATTTATTTTACTTGCAGAATTGTCGGCGTTCGGTTTTTATTTTACTGGCAAAAGATACGACGTCGTTATCACTTTGCTCTCTTTCGCTCGTCGTTGTCTCTGTCTCTGTGGACTCTTATCACTTTGCTGGGATATAATAGTTGGAGCGAACGCGAGTACTTTCGTCGTAGTTAGTATCGAACGTTACGAAAGCTGTGTGTGCGATGTGAACACTTCAGCTCATCCAAATCAACTGAAACGGTTTGAACGATGGCAAATGTTTTTATATTTCGTTCCACTGTGAGCAATTTCCCTTGTATTCTCTCGCATGAAAATTACACACGCTACACTCGACACTCAGTTTGGTTCAGTCCGTCCAAAGTGTACTACACTCTCTCTCTATCTCTCTCTCTCTCTCTCTCTCTCTCTCTCTCTCTCCATGCATGTTCTCAGTGCTGTGCGTTTTGTTTATCCCTGTATCGTCTGTACAGAGGAGAAACCGGCACCAGTCCGAATGAGAGACGGTTTGTGCGTTAGTGTGTGTGAATGAGCACATTTGATTTCTTATCAATTCCATTGCGATAGAAGCCGGCTGTGGAGTGCACATTGAACCTATGTTAAGCCAATATCTATTGCGACTTGGAGAATTGTTTCTCCTTCGCTTATTGTCATAGCAACGCGAAGAAATGGAGCTACTGTGAGCAACAATCAGGGGAATCGCTTACGAAAAAGCGTTTACTCGATTCGAAAGAAAATCACGAATCTCGTTTAAACTTGAACACCGAATTTATTTAATTTGATTGTCAACTTTTGATCTACTCAAAGGATATTAAATTTATTAACTGAAAATGTCAAAAAATAAACGCGACTAATTGTATTTGAAGCAATTTTTCTTTACTCCCATGATACCGAATGAAAACATTCTTGCGAGAATTTCTCGTTGAATGCAGAGAGAGAGCGAGAGAGTATCTTAGTTGCATCAGTTCAAGTGGTTTATGCTGAATAATTAGATGCTGAAATGACAAGCATACGAATTAATTGGAAATTCAGATGGGTATTTAGTAGAAGCACATCCCAAAAACCGCACCGAACACCAAACTCTGTTGTGAGCAACTGATTTGGAAAATCTTGCGGTTTGTTCCAAGGTTTTCGACCAATTATACATCAGTAATTCATGTATATTGACACATTCACGGCTCGAACTCGGATGCGATTGAATGCAGAAAGCTTGTAATCCCATCGTTTAATAAGATATAAAATTGAGATTTATACACGAATTTGCGATAATCGATGCAAAGTGTGTCTATGCATTAAAATGTCCAATGAAAATTGATGGGAAACATCAACATGCTCGAGAATCGAGCAAATGAAAATGAATTTTCGAAAACATTCGATTCAATTTCAGTCTCGAACCAAGGCGAGCAATTTCCAGGGGCTGTCAGTGACGATTTGCCCGCTAGAAACAAGTAAATAAACACACAGAGATATCACTTTTGGCTCACTCATGTGTATCAGTGCGGGTAGGTTCAGCAAATATTCCATTTTAGGTTACACAGTTTCATCGATTGAATGCTATTTCCATCGGTTCACGGTACAGATATTCACTTTGAAGAGAAAAAAAAACGGACAGAAGGAAATTTGGGTGGAAGACATAGGTCGAATCTACGTGTTGTTTTGCATAATACATATAAATGGAATCTTCACGTCAGCAATCAAGAAAGTGTTTTTGTTGATTTGATAACTGATAACTTTGTTCTTGAAACGTTGACACATAACGATGTTAAGATACAATGGATTGGTGTGAATTCTGTGAATTGTGTATTCAACATGAAAAGAGCGACAAAATTTTCATTCCATTTTGCCTACATTCAGGCGTTTGTTTTTTCAAATGACAAAATGGTTTTTTTTTATGCCTGAGTCACCTTAATGGACTTTGTTGCCTGCCATTCGTAGTTTGACCCATAAACTGTTTAATGAGCAAAACTATATTCGTTCTCGGCAGTTTCTAACGTATTCGGTCGGATTTTCTTCGAAAGTGCCGATAAATCTTGATGTAAGACCATATGCGCACCTGTGCGTTGGCCAACCAGTATGTGCTTGTGCATCGTAATTCAGAAGCAACGTCAAACGTGTATTAGCACATTGGTTGTTTATAGTTAGGGCTAAGCTCATCTCACCACACAATCAAATGACTCATTGGCAACTACTTACTGCAGCACATAAATTTCGTATAGTAAACAAACACTGTATTACAAATTACCGTGCGCCTGCAGCTAAAACTATTTATTTTGAGTATGACCGCCATTTGCCACTTTTATTATCTATCGACTGGTCATAATTCAAAATTTAATGGTAATAACGATAATTTTGCATCCATGCATATTGCTTATTTATCGTAGCAATGAACCAGAAAACTTGCGTTCTCCGTAAACAATAAACTTTCGAAATAAAACACATACACATACACACCGAAAAGAATGTGATGTCATTGAGTTAGTTTATGGCACCTTAGTCTGGCTGCTGAAATAGCTGTGAGAAATATTTTGAGAATGCACATCACATGGATCTTCGCCGGTGATAAATTCCATCGTATTAACCCAGTCTAAATTTGGCTGCGGACAAGTTTATCAAAATTCAAAGCCAATTTATAATTGTTGCTGCTGCTTCTTCTTCTTGTGCATTCAAGCCACAAGCCGCAATTGAATCGTGTGTACGAAATTCGTTGAAGTACATTGTTGTGTGCGAGAGAGCATGCTTCGTTCGAACCGCACACGGTTGCGGAATTGCCATGGCTTGATAAGTTAAGGTTTTTGTCTGGAAATAAATGTGCGTTGCTATCGTCGTCGTCGTCGTCGTCGTCGTCGTCGTCGTCGTCGTCGTCGTC